GATTTTGGTTGTACAGAAAGTTAAGATTTCAGTTAAGTTTCGTCAAATTGACTGGTACTCTAAATGCATCATAAATGACTTAGCTTTTAAAAATTTCCATCAAAAGAATGCTAGTCATAAAAATTCCATATATGGAAATTATATGACTAGCATTTTTTGACCAATTATTTTTTTCATGAAGATACACCAAATTTTATGACCAAACAAAAAAAAAGGTTTCTGAAAATTCGCTAAAGTTATTTTTCCAAAAAATGTGAAATTGGTTAAAATGTGTAAAATGCATAAACACTGGAATGGATTTAGGGCAGGCGGACGCCCTCCTTTCAGGGATCCGGCCCCCTGCCGATCCAAAGGGTACCCCTTTGTACTATTTTGGGATATCCATTTTTGGCTAACGGACCCAAAAAATTTTCTGAATTATATGACTGACATTTTTTGACCAAAATTTTTTTTCATGACGATACACCAAATTTTATGACCAAAAAAGAAAAAATTTCTGAAAATTCGTTAAAGCTATTTACTAAATGGTATCATTCAAAAAGTATTGTTGTCTTGATCTCAAATTTGAAAAGATATTTCACCTTCATCATTTTTCGTAAAGTTGTGGGGGTTTAAAGATTGTCATTTTGGCTAATTTGCGACAATTAAAGCAGTTGTGTTTCTCGCTATTAACGCGTAAGCGGAGATTAGTTCCGTCTTAGAAATCGTTCCAAATTGATTGAAGGAAGGCTATTTGCCATAATTGATTTGTAACTAGGTGCTAAGTTTATCACTTTGTTCTTTATATGGCATGTGGGGGATGATTTTCACAAAAAAAATTCAAATTATAGACCGTTTTTTTTATCACGTTCAATTTTTCATGTTATTACTGCTCCATAAAATTCATACCCTAAAAAATGACCTATTCTAGAAAAAATGGCAATAAGGAACTGATAAAGAGAATATCTTGTCTTCTGTGCGTGTAGATCTCTCGTATAATAATTTCTAATATCCGCGATTTTGTGAGTTGTTCGATACACCGAAGGTGCGTTACACGCTAGTTTTTAGTCGTTTTTGCAAGATCTTATGCATCAAAAAAGATAGGTTAACTTTCAATAGAATGAGCTCAAAACCGATGTTGACCGTGTGTGCTCCTATCGAGGTGTCAAATCTGAGCTCTGTGTGGATATATTGTAGCACTAACGGCTTAAAGTTACCTGCGTACACACGCGCGACTAATGTCAGAGGACATTTTGAAGTGACAGCAGAACTTAGTATATAATGTTGGGAAAATATGCTGAATAATGACAAAAAAGAAATTATAACAGGTCCCCAAAATAGGGAAAATTATATATTGTGTGTGAATGAAATGATTTGAAGCTGGACATGACACTTACAGTCGTGTCCTTGTCATCGAAGCAGTTGAACTTGGTCAGTTATCAGTTAAAACACAATACACGGTGGTCTAGATGTCCATGACGTTGACTCTGGTCAATGGGCGAGGGTTCAAATCCCTCCCGGGTATCCTCCGACAATGTCCCAGGTTCAACTGTTTAGATTGCATTCAAAAGTTAAGACGGGTAGGTTTTCTCTAAATATTATTATTTAAAAAATTGAATTGAGGAGTGATGCGGAAAAAACCCTCTTCGGACGTTGCGTTCCCAACAAGTTTGGGTATCTTTGCAATTTAAGTTTTCATAGTAACTTTGCATTTTGGCTGAAAGGAAGGTTGACGAAAAGGACCGATGATAGGGTTCCTCAAAAACTGGTGAGGTTGTCCTGACACAAAATCTGATTGGTTATCAGAAAATTTTCATTGTATAATAAAAATAAAACAAATTCGATTAGTTTGCTCACATGTTAGTTGAGTGAATTCAAAATGCGGTTAACTTGTTTGCAATCAGAGCATGCTTTTTCATGTTGCTTTTGATTTGCATTGCATCGTTTCATTTATGGTAGATACTTTTGTCTAATAGATGCACTGTTTGTGTTGGATCCAGTCAACTAGCTTTAGTTGATTTCCCTTGTGTTGACTTGTATTTGAATGTTCGTTCAAAATCTGATTTTGGAATCGGAGAAAAAGCTGCATGTCCTATCTCGCAATTGCATGGAACATCCGATGAAGCCAAATAATGGATTCCTGAAACTTAAAAGGGAAGAAATAACAGCCGGACGCTGCGCAATTGGTTATGAATTTTGTCTGTTAGCTATGCTTAGGATCAAGACCGTACTCAATACTCTTATATAGGTCTTGGTTTTTAAGTTTTTTTTTCGGGAAATTTGTTCAAGCTAAATTTGATTTTTCGCGGTTTGGTTTTGATTGCTTTGTAACTTCACTTCATTTCCTTTGTTAAAAGGAAGGCAAACTACACTATCGAACACAAAAGGTGCAAATTTCACGAAAAACGGGAGCCACATCTTGTATCGAAAAAGGAATTCAATTTAAGATTTCTCAGCGGAATAAAAATTTTACCTATTTGTCCAGTTTTCTCAAAATGTGTTTTGTTCATCAAAAAAGTTTCAAGCATAAATAGGTTTTGTATCTCATGTAGCCATCTTTTTTGTTATCCACATCGTTGAGGTCTTCTTACAAGTTATGCATTATGCTTGACCATATTCCGCTGCTTTTCCATCTATCTATACTATATTTAAATGCTACATCACATGTTTAAGCATAATAATTTTGCTTGCTTAACGAAAGAATGTTTAAATTATATCATATATTGCAATGCTTCAGAAATTTTTTTAATTAATTTTCCGCAAGGTCAGTAATTTTTCAGTTATTTTTTTCAAGGCCAAAATAAGTATGCCTTTCTCTTTTTTTCTTCAAAATTGCAAGTTCCGCGTAGTGGATTATCTCTGGTTATGGAATGAACGCATGATTACTCTGGCGTGGATAACTTTTTGTGAGACGTGAACAAATTGCTTGCTTCAAATCAATTCTAAAATTTTAAAGCTTAGCTGATATCGACCTGATAATTTTTTTGACTGATAGCAAGGGTATTGCAATCGGGTACTAGACTTTTTTCTCGTAAATAACTTTGTGTTCACAGATCTCAATTTTAAGATCTCCATTTCCGATCTCGCCAAATTGCACGTCAGCACAAATTTTCCAAGTTGCATTGTTAACAGCTGGTCTAGCAATACTGGGTCCAGAGTTGAAACAATTTTCAAAAAAAAATTGATTTTTTGTCGATATTATTGATTTCGTCCCAATTTTTGACGGATTCCTAAAGTACTCTCTTTTTTCATTTTCAAACGAGTAATTATAGTTCTTAGTTTTCCAATTTTGTCTCCGCAAAACTTTCAGTTAAAGATGAAAAAAATTGCATTAAATTCTCATTTTTTCCAATGCATGGCTTCTGGTTATCTATATCTATACTATCTATACTATATTTAAATGCTAGTGACAGCTATCTCCCATGTTTAAGCACAATAATTTTGCTTGTTTAACGGAAAAATGTTTAAACTATATCATATTTAGGAAAATTTTTTTAATTTGTTTTCCGCAAGGTCATTAGTTTTTCAGTAATTTTTTTCGAGGCCAAATTAAGTCTGTCTGTCTGTATAACTGCTTTTTTTTAAATTAATTTGATTATGCCTGTCTACCCGGTTCCTAATTTTCTAACTTTCATATATCAAATCTTTTATCTTTTTTATAGATTTAAATGTGGACTTTACTACCTCACCATGTTTAAGCTTTTTGAACGTACTTTTTTTTCATGTTTAACACAAGAATTTTTTCACGTTTAAGCTATATCGTATATTGCAATGGTTAAGGTTTTTTTTCGGTTTTCCAGTTTAAGTTCAGTGTTTATTTCATCAAAATTGTAACTAGCAACCCAAAAGATGGATGTTGTCAGAGTTTTCCCAGGTTTTGGGATTCTGGTCTTCGTATGAATAGCCAAATCCTTTTAGTTTATGAGATAGGCAATTTTCGAGATTTTTCAAAAATTTGTAGAAAATTGATTAAAAAAACTTCTCAATTTTTGAAATTCTAACCCTGTAATTGGGTGCTGTCACGGTACTCTCAGGGGTTGCGAATCCTGCCTTCAGATCTCACTTCTCAAATCCTTGTAGTTTTTGGGATATGACGTTTTTTTATGATTTTCTCAAAAATGTTCAGAAAACTTAGGTTTAGTTTTTTTTTATAGAACTTGAAGTTAATATCTCTGTAGTGAGGCTCTGTCAGGGTAAACTCAGGAGTTGCAAATTTGGCCTCCAATTAAGAAAATCCTGATCTTTTTAATTAAGGAGATACAAAAATTTTTGTGATTTTTTCTGAAAATTTTCAGAAAACTCAAATTACAAAATATTTCACTTAAGTGAAATTCCTAACCCTGTAGTTGTGTGCTGTCAGAGTAATTTCAAATTTTGCAACTATTGCCATCAAACATAACATCTCAAATCTTGGTAGTTTTCGAGATGTGAAGTTCTTTCTGGTTTTCAGAAAGATACCTTTTTTTTAGAAAACTTGAATTCTAGTTATCCTTCATAACGCTTTTTAAGAGTAATGAACTTAGTGAAGACTCTGATATAGGTCTTGCTGATTTTTTTGTTTTTTTTTTCACGAGAGTCAGTTGCAATTCATCTGCTGAAAGTTAACGTAAAAAAATAATCTGGAATTAGCGCAAAAAACGTGATCGTTTCTAGTTTTGAAAGTGTTGTGTGTTTCTGTTGTGTGACATGATTGTTTGTGTTGTGCGTTATTGCAGGTCCCTCGCTGACTGGTCTTCCCCCCCTACGGCTAAAAGACACCAATGAGCACGAGTTCATCCTCAACAGAAAACTGCATGGAAAATCAAAAGTTTCATTCTGATAGATTTTGAGATCTGATAACAATTTTAAAATCAATTTAGCGCAAGAATCTGCAGAATTATGATGAGAACTTAGCAATTCCTTATTGAAATCAGTACCTGTGAAATCAACGTGCGTGTAAGGGTTTTTTTTATTGTTTTTGAAAAAAAACATCAATTCAAAGAAAAATTACTTGGTTTTTATCTGTGAGCTTTTTTTAGTGAGGCAATGTCTGTGGGATCCACTGTATTTAATGTGCCTGGAAATGGCTGGTTTGAGACGACAGACAATTCCTTGTCCACCTCAGATCCAGACAATCCCTACTCCCCACTCACTTGGACACTCACCGGCAACGCAGGGGGTTTCCTGAACATCGAGCCTACCACCGGAATCATCAAACTGGCCAAAAAGGTAGTCTAAACGTTCAAGACTTCAAACTTGATAAATACCGTCTAATAAAATTGCGATTTAATTAGACTTAAATAAACTAAATGGCGAGTCTGAGCGGTAATATTTCCTCAGCAAGTGTTGTTTTGCAGCGTTCAAATTAATTGCTACGTTATTTTTGTCATATGGTTCCAAATTATCATATGCTTTCAAATAACTCGGATGGTAAAACTGATTGTTACGAAGAAGGTAATACTGTTAAACTGCATTACTTTTCTGCACTGCAGGTGGACCGGGAGACACTGACTTCCCCAGTGGCCATCAACATCATAGCGGACGACGGGAGCAGTGCAGTGACGTGCACAACCACCTACACAGTGACAGATGAGAACGACAACCTGCCGCTGTTCTCGCCAGTGGTGAACTACGTGGCCAGTGTGGTGGAGAGTGTGGCCAGAGGGAGTGCAGTGGCACTACTGCAGATAGACGACAAGGACGACCCCACTCTGGGCAACAGTCAAGTGGCAGACGGACAACTAGTGCTGCAGACCATCACAGATGTGAATGAGGAGCAGATCTACTTCAGTCCAAATGTGGCCACTGACTCCATCACAGTCCAGGAAGATGTCTGCTGTTCCTTTGAAGGCAACAGGACCTTCACCCACACCTTCACAGCCAGCGATGCGGACTTCACTCATCTGGGTGACCACTCCCAGTTCACATGGCTGTTGACTTCTGGCAATGGTCTCAAAAAGTTCGTCTTGAAGCAGGGGGAGAACTGGAATGAAGCTAGACTGCTACAGGTAATTAATTAGAGTAATCAGGGATAAATTAACGGTCAACTTAGGTTTGGCGGCCAATTAGTAACTACAACACGCTTGCTTCGTGAGGATGCCTTGAGAGGGCTCAAGTTTTATGGCCCTAAGTGAGAAATAATATTTTTGTATTCACCACGGAATGGCGTGTTACTACTAAACTACTATTACTACTAATAAACTACTAAAGCGTGTTAATTAATTTTTAGTGTGAAATAAGCAAACGCTTATTGTTATGCGATTATTGAAACTTCTCTACAGTGAAATCAAACGTTGGCTATGGTTTATAGAAGTCGGAAAATTACAAATCAAACGTCAAAAACAACTATTTGCGACTATCAACCCGGGTTGACCAAAACTTCTAATCATACAATTTCCATTTATGAAAAACTTCTTGTCATACAATTCCATACAATGCCATACGTACAGAACATTGTATGAAATCTCTATGATAAAGATTTTTCCATAAATGAATATTGTATGATAGGTGTTTTTCCATAAACCAAAAAATTTTGACGTTTTCTTTCAAAATTTAGTTTCTGAAAAGTTTTTTGGTTGTGTTCGCAACCGAACACAAGTAACAAAGACCTTGGTTACTCAAAACACCAAAGGTTGGACGGTCTTGCATATACAATGCATAGCAAACGACCTGAATTTGGATGTTTTTCACAATTGATATAGCAAAAGTAACGAACTTTTATTTTTTGGCAAAATTTTTTAATGATGATTATTTTAAATTTTTGAATTTTCAAGTTATCAGACATTGATCAAGGCTTACATTAACACTCCATACAAAAGAAATAGGAATTTTCAGCAATTTTGAAAAAAAAAATTTAAGTGAAAAGAAAATAAAAGCCAATTTTTTCGTATCCAGGACTACGTTATGCACACAAAATATTAAATTTTGCATGCAAAAAATTTCAAAAAATGTTTGTTTGCGTACGAAATTCGATTTGCGGTTGAAAAAAAAACAAAAAAGTTTTTGGGCCAAATTTTCAAAATTACTTGAAAAATTTTTTGTGTCGCCATCAAAAAAATTCCAGTCATACAATTCCCATATATGGGAATTGTATGATATGCATTTTTTTCAAAAAAACGAGAACCTCAATTTTTTATCACCAGACTGTTTTATAAGAATCAAACATCCACAGAAATAAGTTTATACCAGTTTTCAACCATTTTTAGAAATTGTATGAAAATTGTATGACAAGCATTTTTCCATACACTTGATGTATGGAATTGTATGATAACCATTTTCGGTGTATGGAGGTCAACCCGGGAGGCAGCTATAGAAAATAGTTCTCGAAACTGAAGCCATGCCTTACTTCCTTGTTTGAATCAGCCAACTGTAAATAAAAAGTTTTTTTTTTGCTTATGATTGTTTAAAATAGTATTAGAACTGAACATATCGGATCATTTAACAGCCTTCCCCCCTCCTCCATAGACGTAGTTAACCCATCCCAAAGTTCAATATAAATTAATTGTGCTAAGTGATTGGCTGAAGAATTCGAATTCGGAACCAATTTAATATCCTCCTCCCCTAAACGGCTTTGGGACGAGGATGTTAACTTGGTCCAAAAAATCTCCCTAAATAAAGATATAACCAATTAGTAACTACAACGCGCTTGCTTCGTGAGGATGCCTTGAGAGGGCTCAAGTTTTATGGCCCTAAGTGAGAAATAATATTTTTGTATTCACCACGGAATGTGGCGAAGAACGATGAATTTAATTTTTCCATGCAAAATTAGTACCATATAAAAAGGCTTGACACCCGAGCTGTGATAACTATCAAAAACTTTCTTTTGCTTAAATTAGTGAAATTTTTATTGGTATAGCCCAATCCAACATACCGAGCCAATTGGTGTTACCGGCTCAGAGGAACTTGCTATTTTAGTAATTGTGATTTTTTCATTTTGCTTCAAGTCTTTTTTTAGCCAACTCACTGTTTTTGTCAATTTCAGGTGAATGACATCGACAGGGAAGAACTGTGTGGCAACTTCCTCTGCACTGGGGGAGAGTTCGAACTGGAAATAGAAGTGTCAGACGAGACAGACGTGCAATTTAACGTGATTGTGTGAAAAAACGGAATTAAAAAAAACCTAATTTTCATCTTGTGCTTAATCTTTGCTTGTGTTTATTTCTTCAAATTTATGTTCTCAATTGATGTACATTGTGTTTTTCCTATTTCGAAAGATTAAGGTATAAGTAGTCGATCAAAACTTGAAGATAGCCGTCTATTACAAAAAAAAAAGTTTTAAAAAAAGAAGCTTTCTGGGGGAACCGCCTAGCGGGCTGTGTGTATGTATGCGTAGCTAAGACTGCTTCCTTCTTCCACGAACGCTACTTGGTTGTCTTCGCGTGTAAAGCTGTTTTTGCCCAAAAAAATTGTATCTTTAAAGATCTTGCAAAAAAAAGGTTATCTTTAAAGGAGGTTATCTTGCAAGATCTTGCAAGAATCTTGCAAGATCTTTTAAAGAGATGCACCCTCTTTAGAAGAATCTTCCAAGATTCTTGCAAGATCTTGCAAGATAACCTCCCTTGATCGACTAGTGTATTTTCTGGTTTTTATAGTATTTGGATGATTCTCTATTTTAATAATGGTCCGAAATTGATTGTCAAATTATGGCTACATTTTCGAGACGTTTTTTCGAGACGTTATATACCAAGCAACAAAAAAAAACAAATGTGATGCGGTTTGTTTTTGCCTGCTAATACAACAATGAGGCCAGTGTCAAAGAGTGTATCCAATCTAGGTTGGATGCTGCCAACATGATCTCGTTGTGCCAGAAAAATGACTTCAAACGATCCGAGCTGGCTATAATAATTTTTTTTGTGTTGTTTGTCTCCACATTGTCATAGGCCGCACACTGTCATAGGCCGCAGAGATAGGGCGCTCTATATTCCTTGACGAGAGCTGATTTTGCCCTTAGTTTGAATATCTTCACATGCTGTCCCTTTTGGTACTCCCTTGTTATTGGTTTTTCTTCTCTTCTCCGCTCCTGTTGGTTGATTGGCTCATCTGACAGAGGTCTGACAAAAGTCAGTCCGATATTTTAATTGAGGGCATACTGTGAGCTGAAGTTAACCAGAAGTATTGACCGTTTAATGATAGTCTGGTAGTTCAGCGTTTTCAAGTAGTTGAGCTTTATGGTAACTTTTGGAGACTTGCAGCTGGGAGGTTCACCCAAAACTGACCAAAAAGAAGGAATTGGTTTTGAGAACCAAGAACACAACAGTCCTTTGTAAAGTAGATTAGATGGAGTGTTCCACCGACTAAAAATAACTTGTCTGTAGGGTAGATGGGGGAGAAGCGATGGGCGTAATTGAAATTTATATGGCTGCCAGTGAGGAGTTTGGTCATAGTTCGAAAAAAGAGCTTTCACTGAAGGATATGTGTTTGAAAGCGGAACTTTAGAGGAACCAGAGCTGGGGAAGCTTACAGGTGTTGTTTTGGAAAAACAAACTTTTGTAGTGTCATTCTGCGTGAAGGAGTAAATATGATCTTAGAAAAAGTCTTTAGTAAGGAATTTAAATACTCGAGATGCATAGTTTAAGTTTTCAAACAGATCCAAACAACTTATCAATTGGATTTGAAACTTCGACTCGATGAATGGTTGTTGTTTTGAAAAATCAAGTGGTTGCTGTTTTGAAAGTGGTTGCTGGTTCGATAATTTGAAGAAAAAAAACGGAGAGTTCATTCATACTGATCAAATGAGCAGTGGATTTCATGACGGTGGAATAAAAATGAAACAGAGTGCATGACTTTCGGTAATTGGAGGCAGTTTTCTTTCAATGGCGCCATTTGACACAGTGAAAGTGTAATCAAAAGAAAAGCATACATCGTTTTTTAAGTCAAAAGTTAGATTTCGTCTAAAGTAAGGTTTTCTAGTGTGAACAAATAGTTTTCAAGACTTTTATCATGCAGATGGCTACATTACAAGGCCAAACTGTGCATTCTGTGCATTGTATGCGGATTCCACAACAATCCAGAGTCTGACTTGTCGCGGAATCCACATCCTTGCTACTTTTCTTTGATCTTCGTTGCTGTTCTGGAGTCCACAAACAAATATTTAAAACGCTGTTCCTTTCAAAATCGCTTCAAAAATAGACGAATTTGTAGAATCCTCAGTTGAGTTTGCGGAATCCAAAACAGATTGTGAAGTCCACAAACAAACAATAAGACATGTGTGTAGATAAATCGAGCTGTTGCGGAATCTGCAACTGTAAGCGGAATCCGCAAAATGTAAGTGGAATCCGCAATTTGTAGGTGTCGTCCACATTTTCAATGCAAATTTGGTTCACCTATAAGTTGTATGTAGTAGTGTTTTAGATAATTCTTTTAATTACACGATTTGATTTCACTAGAATAGAAATTTACTAGATCAGTGTTTGTGATTATTAAAATAACAATTTTTGATCAGTATTTGGTATCGAAGGTTTCGTTTACAAAGTAGTGTTGGCAAAACATTGTGTTGATACACTGTTTAGTGAAAGGTTGTAGCTGTTTCAGACAGGACTGAGAAACAGTTTGGATGTAGCAATTACATATCAGAGGCCTTTTTAACTTGAAGTATAGAACCAAACTTTGGAGAACTTGTTGAAAGTTAGCTAATTTTAAATTTTGTCTTAACGCCATTTAAAAAAAAACAAATGTAATTGATTTAGACTTAAAAATAACTAATTCATCTTCTTTAAAAAATTTTCACAAAACTGGAACAACTTCTGTGATAGAATCAGTTATTTACTAGTAGCTGCTTTTTTCATTGTACAAGCATTTCAAAACTTATGACCCATAAACTGTTTTGAAAAAGACTTCATGAAATAAAACAGGGCCAGCCCACACGGACACATAGCTAAAATTACATATTTGAATCCTTTGGATTAGCAATAAACAAGAAATGATGCAAAGAGAATTTTGAATAAAGTGCCCCTAGTATATATCTTACAAATCACAAAAAATAATCATAACAATCAACCTAAAAATTATGACAAAATACAATTAATATTGCAGAAACTTATTTATTCTCACTTGACAATATATTCTCAAGAATGGTCCTTCTAGAACACTGGCCAGTCTGAGCTCGTTATGTTTTTTTACGAGAAAACAACAGAAAAGTAAGGATGAGTTAAAAACAAAACAGTTTAAGAATATGACTGACATAGGTACGAAAAAAAAAAGACAAAACTTGTACTCAATCAACAGGTACCTGTTCAGATAAATCAGTGAATTTCTTTTGGGCCTTCAAAACAGAGTAAAGGTGTAGGTCAATTTTTTTAAAACACAAAAAGAAATATAGAAATATACAAATTGAAATTGTATTTAGACTGCACTAGTGTTTTAGTAGTTTTTTAATATCTACAAGATCAAATATCAACCCTTCTTGCTATTGGAACCTGATCTAAACTATGTTTCATTATTTATAATTTAGACAATTAACCATTGTAAAGTATTTAATATTAACCAATCACAATCCATCTAATCATCAAGGCCTATCATTGGATCAAAAGAATAATTTTGTTCTCCCCCACCCACTTATCAAGTGTCTAACGACCGCAAACGTCGATTCACTCTCCAGCCTTTTCAAAAGACCCAGGACTAATAGAAATTTTCCAAACACTAACCATTTAAATTAGGCTAAACAGTGAAGAACTTCGGTTATTCATCCTTCACTTAACCCCTCCTCTTATACGACCCAGGATATTCTTAGACTTAGTAAGTTTAAAATAGTATCTAACGAACTACTTGTGTTCTAATTATACCTGAACCTTGAGGATCGATTTACTATTCTCCAACCCTTGAACACAATCACTACCCCTAAGTAAGATTAAGTAAGTTAACACCTTAACTTATATTAGCCACAAGAAATTAAAAATCATTCTCCGGAATCGATATACCTTTCTCTCCAACCCTGAATAAAAATACCAAGGCACAGCTAAAGAATATGTTAATCATCCAAAACATAAAAATACTAAACAATTTCTCCAAACTAATCTACCATCACTTCCCCAATACACATTAAATACACCTACTACTAATGATGACATCAGAAATTTTGTTGACGAATACGTCTTAATGCCAACACTTCATTGGACATCATACTATCACTATACTAACCCTCTTTACCTACCACTTTATAACAACGTAACTGATAATGAACAATGTAAAGATATGCTATACAGACTAACAACAGCACTAACACTACGACAATTCATAGGATTCAAAAAACTATTAAAAGAATTCACCGCACCTCGCGCTAACGACTTTACTAACGAATATTACGATCACAGCATCATACGCCCTAACCAAGACCAATTTTTAGATGATGACCGCTTTGCAAACCCACAACTAACAGAAAAATTTTTCATCTCAACACCATATTTATTTACACTTAATATTTTTGACAAAAAACACAATCACATCATTTCCGAAGCCCTCATTGACACCCAAGCCTATCAAAGCTTCCAAGATAAATTTAATTTATTTACACTAACCTTCCACTTTCTTACACTACAGGAACGAGATCTGCACTGCTCCCACGATATTATGTTACGCACTAAACAAACACATACTTACACGTATTATCGTTTTATACAAAAACATTTTCACCTACATACACCCTCACGACAACCTCACCATCGTTTTCAATTCATCAACTCAAAGTACACATCACCGTTTTTTCTTAATTTCTTTTATTGTATAAAAGACACTAACTTTCACGGCATCCTCCGTAATTACGACCCCGTCCACCAAATGTATATATTTTGCCCCATCATCAACGCTTTTCAGGACAAAGAATCCCGACCCTTCCTCGTCCCGCATGAATTCCTACAACCCATTGAAATCCCCATTCTCGAATTTATACATAACACTTTATATAACCATAAACTTTATAATCTAATTCAAAACACACCTCATGAGTTTGCAGTTGGCACCGAAGAACTAAATATCATCAAAGCACTTCAATTGCTTCGGCCACTCTTTTAAACTAAAAAAAATCATTCGTATATTAGCTAAATTATTAACGTCATCTGAACTAATCCAAGACCTCTTCCCCCATGGCTTTTTCCCCGAAGGTTA